CCCAAAAACGTATAGACACGTAGGTTTAGTTTGTTGACAATTGATTTTCGACATTTGACATTGAACTGACCTTGAACCAGAGCTAATCGCGTCAAACCGACACCGGAATCGCATTCGGCGACCCCAAAAACGATACGTAGGTTGAAAAATAGATACATTGGTTTAGGTTGCTGACAATTGATTTTCTACATTTGATCTTGAACTGACCTTAAACCAGAGCTAATCGCGTCAAAGGGACACCGGATTCGGATTCAGCGATCCCAAAAACGTATAGACATGTAGGTTTAGTTTGTTGACAATTGATTTTCGACATTTGACATTGAACTGACCTTGAACCAGAGCTAATCGCGTCAAACGGACACCATATTCGGATTCGGCGACCCCAAAAACGTATAGACACGTAGGTTTAGTTTGTTGACAATTGAATTTCGACATTTGACATTGAACCAGAGCTAATCGCGTCGAACGGACACCGGATTCGGCGATCCCAAAAACCTGTAGATACATAGGTTTAGTTTGTTGACAATTGATTTTCGACATTTGACCTCGAACTGACCTTAAACCAGAGCTAATCGCGTCAAACGGACACCGGATTCGGATTCAGCGATCCCAAAAACGTGTAGATACTTAGGTTTAGTTTGTTGACAATTGATTTTCTTCATTTGACCTTCAACTGACCTTAAACCAGAGCTAATCGTGTCAAACGGACACCGGATTCGGATTCGGCGACCCCGAAAACGTATAGACACGTAAGTTTAGTTAGTTGACAATTGATTTTCGACATTTGACATTGAACTGACCTTGAACCAGAGCTAATCGCGTCAAACGGACACCAGATTCGGATTCGGCGACTCCAAAAACGTGTAAATACGTCGGTTGAGTTTGTTGACAATTGATTTTCTACATTTGACCTTGAACTGACCTTAAACCAGAGCTAATCGCGTCAAACGGACAGCGGATTCGGCGACCCCAAAAACGATACATAGGTTGAAAAATAGATACATAGGTTTAAGTTGTTGACAATTGATTTTCTCATTTGACCTTGAACTGACCTTAAACCAGAGCATAGCGCGTCAAACCGACACCGGATTCGGATTCAGCGACCCCAAAACCATATGGATACCATGGTCTTGTCTTTCGGACCTGCCACTTTTTCTTTGTAAGGCTGTGTAATAAATACTTAATAGTAATAATATTAGTCTTTATTTAAAAGCATGGGTTACAAGTCAAGCATATGGCTACTCTACCCTAAGATTAATAAAACAATTATAACAATAAGCAAAGCGACGAAATCGACCATTTTTTATCTTGTTAGATATTTTTATAGTTCATATATGTAACTATAAATCTACAGCTTATTTTTTACAATAAGGTTTTCATTCTCCAGGAGCCCAAGCTTGCTCCAAAACTCAATTGGTCTCAATTCTTCGCTCCTGTGCAGCTTCATGTCTTCTGGTCCATTTATGAACAAGTAAGTCAGCTCTTCAGATCCCGTTGGTTGCCAAACGTCTGTCCCATCGAATGAAGGAATACTAAAAAATTGGAATTAGCGAAGGGAATAAGTCATTCAAGGAAATTTATGTTTTATTTACCCGCTGCTGGCATATGAGTACAACACATTCTGGCAAGCAGTAACTAAGCGCTTATCCTGATCCGATAATGGTATAAAGTGTAATAAACCATAGAAGTAGACGCCATCTTCACCGTGACACGCACCTGTGAGAATGTTGATAAGAGATTTGATTTCGTTTGTTATACACTAATGGAAAAAATTAAGGGATCAAAAAAAAAAAATTTTAATTTTCGGCGATTTTTCAAATGGC